GCAGTTATTGCATCCTGGTGATGTAGACAAGCTCCTTGATCAGTCCATCCCACCTTAAGCTTAACTCTTGACCATCTTGGCTGATAAGATTGAGCAGTGGCAGATTGATCAGGTAGTCTGGGGGTGGTGGTAAATTCCTCACTCTCTCAAAAGGAGGTGGCTGACAGAGGCTGTAGTGCACCTTCTCTGAAGTGGACCTGCTTAAATCCAATGGTATGTGAGAGGTATTGACCTTTCACAGCTTTGGGGACAAATTGCTTTAACATGTGGGAATTGAATGACTTCAGATGTTTTTGGAGGAAATAGATATCTAGACCCATTTCAGGCTATGCCTGTATGGCCAGAATACTCTGGAAGCAGCCTGGAATATTCTGGCCCCAAAGCTGCCCTGACATCCTCCTGTAACCTGACACTCCAAAGCAATACTGGGCAGATGTTCACACAGATGTCCTGTTATATTGCCAGCAGGTGTCAGTGTGAGTCATTCCCTCTGAGTCTGAAAATGAGGTGCCTAGGGTCAATCACATCGCTGGGTGCCTCCTTCTGATCTCAGAGGGAGCACCTTGCATCAGCAGCAGCACCAGGTAGTACAAAGGAACATGAGTGTAAACCAGCGTTGCTCCAGAGGGCTCCAGATTTATTTATTTTTGGAAGATCCAAAGTAAAAGGTGAGTTTTCAAAAGCTATTTTAAGGGTAGTAACTTGCAGGTTCAGTGCTGAAGTGGCTGTTCATTGTCCAGACAGTTTGCACCTGGTTTGGGGACTGGGCCCTGCATTGTCCAGACTGATCACCATGAGAACAGGAGAAGGACATGGTATTTGACCCATGCAGACATGTAAGTTTATCGCACGACACTTACAAGAACGGGAACAGAAAGTAACGGAATGGAATGGAGCAAAAACACATGTTACTGAACAGGAGAACACCACTGATGCTGCCAGGAGTCTCCAAGACATTTCCCAGCCATTCCTGGCAGCCGATTTTTGAAGGACAGCTCAAAATCATCCTTCAAAAATCAGCTGCTAGGAATGGCTGGGGAATGGCTTGAGGACTCCTGGTGGCATCAGTGGCATTCTCTTGTCTAGTAACATGCATTTTTGCCCCGTTCCATTCTGTTCTGTTCCTTTCTGTTCTCGTTCCTTAAGTGCCATGCAATAAGCTTTCAGGCTAGGGTATAGGCTTATTATCTTGACTGACAACCTTGTTCAGGCAAAAAGAGCAGAAGTGTTACCCTGTTGAACTTCTTTTTTTTTTAAACAAAATTTTATTATTAAAAACATTGATTACAAAGATTAATCAAAAATACACATTACATAAACACCTACAAACAAAAAAAACCAAAAAACAGAAACAATAACAAACAATAACAAACACAAAATAAACATACATACAAACAAACTAACATATAATTGTGGCATATAATAAAACACTTCCTTCACCAGACATTCCTTGTGCTTTGCCCTTTTTTCCCTAACTTCTATTACAATGTATTTCTGTTCGTCTCAAACCATACATGATCTAACTTAAAGACACTATATCATATTCTAACCTAATTATTATTACACAAAAATTGTTTAAATTCCGTTTATCATTTTACAGCAATTTCTATTGTACTTTTCTATAT